ATAGAGTAGCAACGAAAATAATTTTATGGTTGGGGGTCACCACAACATGAGGAACTGTATTAAGGGGTCACGGCATTAGGAAGGTTGAGACCCACTGCTCTAGACCCACACTAACAACGTTAAAAACAAGCCTTTAAAAGATAGAGCCGAGTTGCAAGAAACTTAGCATCAAGAACTTGGAAGGATCTGAGTGAAATTTCACCTGACTTGGATGTTAACATGTTAGCCTGCCATAGTTTCACGGAAGCTGGCAGGAGACACAAGATTACTGGATTTGAGACAAAGAACAGTTCATTATTTGTAGCAGTAGTAACCAGAACATAAATATTTTTGTGTTGGTTTCCTGAGTCTCAATTCCTACAGGCAATGCACAGAATTGTGTATAACAGTGCCTCGTGTTACAAGAGAGGAATCCAGACCCTAAGGAAGCTGAATCTTTTATAATATTAAGCATGGCTATCCTTAGCTCCTGAAGGAGACACCCTCTTTATTACAGGGAGCATACCTGCCATTCATTCCAGAGGGAGACACTACCTGTATTTTCCCAGGGTGGTTGCTGCTAAAACAGCCCTGAAAAGATAGCACAGAACAAAGGGTGATCCATGACATGCTCACAAGATTTGCAAAAATGCGAGAGACCCGGGTAGCATTGTGTCCCAACAATATTCATCATCACTTCTGTACCATCTAGTCTCTGGTACATTTTGCCATGAGTAAGCCACTCTGTTGGCCACTCTGATTAATGTAACTGTCAGTGTCTGGGACCAAACCCATCCTCTATCTCATGGAGCATTTAATTAAGTCCAGTATCAATGCGACTTCAACAGCAGGATGAAACCAACCTGCTGTTTCGACCTCACTCATGCCCCCCAGCCAGCTACACAAATCCCCATAAACCATTAGAGTCTATTTTAGAAACTAGCAACTTTGAACAACCTATAGCTCAAAGAAGATACCAAAAGGCACACTAGAAAATATTTGGAATTGAAGGATAATGGAAACACAACAGATGAAAAAGCCATGGAATACAGTTAAAGCAGTGTTTGGGCAGATTTATCGCTTTAAATGCTTATGTTAGAAGATAATTAAGGTCTAAAATCTGTGATTTAACCATCTACCTTAAATAAGTTGGGAAAAGAACAAATTAAACCCAAAATACGTAGAAGAAAGGAAAAAATATAAAGGGAAATCAATGAAATGGAAAACAATAGAGAAAGAGCAACAAAACTAAAAGCTGGTTCTTGAAAAGATAGTTAAAATGAATAAACCTATAGCCAAATGGTAAGGAAAAAAGACAGAGGACACAAATTATAAATATCAGGAATGAAAGAAGGGACATTCCCAAAGATTACAGAGCAGTGGAGTGGAGACGATTATGAGCAACCATATGCCAAGAAAATAGACACGTCAGGTGAACAAACTATTGAAACAGACAAATAATCAAGCTGATGCAGGAAGAAACAAAATCTTAGGAGGCCTCTGTATTAGTTTGTTAGGCCCGCGATAACGAGGTACCATAAGGTTGATTTCTTGTGAAGCTTTTGTTCCTGCCTTACAGATAGCTATCTTCTCTCTCTTTTTCCTCTGTGCGTCTGTCTGTCCTAATCTCCTTTTCATTAAGGACACCAATCATATTAGATGATGTCCAGTGGTCTCATTTTAATTTAATTATCTCTTTAAAGGCCCTATCTCCAAATACCATCACATTCTGAGGTGTACTGGTAGTTAGAGTGTCAACATTTGAATTCTTGGCGATACAGTGCCACTTATAACATCCTATATATTGAAGAAATAAAATTTGTAAACACACTTTCCTGCAAAAATGGCTAGATCCAGATGGTTTCACTCATGAATTTTAATCACATGTTAAGGAAAGATAATACCAACCCTACACAAACATTTGGAGAAAAGAGAGGAAGAGAGACGTACAGCCTATCGTATTTTATGAGGCCACCATAACTCTGAGCCAAAATGCAGAAAAAGACATTACAAGAAAAGAGTAGATACAAATACCCTTGAAAAATGGCAATATAGAAACATAATGCAATAATACATTATGACCAAATGGAGTTTATTCCAGTAATACAAGGTTGATTATACATTTGAAAATCACTGTAATTCAACTTATTAACAGCATATAGAGAAAAAATATATAATCACATCAATCTTTCCAGAAAAAAAAAAAAAGGCTTCGAATTATCACCTAGGAGGCAGGTCCAACATGGCATCAGGGGATGTAGAACAAAATGCAGTCTTTACAGACTTATTCATAGGGACATTAAAAGGACCTTGATGTAGTTGTTAAAATAATTTTGGAAAAGGAAAAGACTGTTGGAGGATTTATGCTACACGATTTTAAGACTTACTGTAAAGCTATAGCAATGTAAATTTTGGCACAGTTGTGTACATAGTTACAAAGGGGCCCTAGGGGAGGTTTTGGGGTGATGGAATTGTTTTGTGATGATAGTTACACATTATATATATTATATATACTTTATATTTATATAAGTATATTATATATACTTTTTTGAAATGTATACTTAAAACAGTTGCATTTTAATTGTACATAAAATATATTCCAGTACAGTCGATTTAAAAAAACTATAAAAAGAGTGAAAGAAGATACTTGGGTTAAGAAAACTATTGGCCTGCTTGAACTTTTCAAACTTTTTGGGTTTTTTTTAGGTGGAGTTGAACTTTTTCACTCTTTTGAATTTAGAGTTGGCCAAGATACATTTTGGTTAAAGAAATGTGAGGCCAATGTGTCACTGCTGGTTGGAAGATTAAATCACCTACTAGGTGCTTCCTCGTGCTCTTTTTTTTCCCTCTGACATCATAGCCAGCGATATTTGGGATGATGTCCATACATTAGTCTAGATTTCTGAGTGACAGGGTGAGCGGAGGCTTCCTGTTGATACAGGATGGATCGAGTAAAGCTGGGCGGTTTTAGCTATTAAGATTTTGTTTCTACTTTTTATTTTTAGTTGGTTTTGTTACTGTAGATGAAAAATCACCTACTTGGACTGACGCAAAAATTCTCCCTTTCTTAAATGTGCCCGGCCTATTAACAGTGTAACTGTGTATATGAGCCCATGACTTCATTTAGGGAGTATGGTGTATTTACACAGCTTTGGCCATGATTTCTATTCTGAGATGTGCCTGTTGGATTCCTTCTGTTCCCTGACTATGTCCTATAATTCTTACATTCATCGTGGTGGACAAGGAGATGTGAGAAAACGGACGAGCCAGCCACATGTATCTTCAGGGCTGCCCTGGCCTTCTGATGGTTGATCCGTTGATGTGAAGACATATTTGTATAAACCAATTAAGCGCTCAGTGTCAAATATATGTAAAATTTTACACTGAAAACTTTTATAATAATTACAGATGGATATATTCAAACAATATTTTGGCTACTTAGAAATTGTTCCGGCGTGTAATTTTTATTGTTTTTGAAAAGTTAGCTTTCTTGAAGGATAATTTATGTACCCTAAAATCCTCTCTTTTTTAGGTTTATAGATTTGACCAAACAATTTAGAGTTTTGACCAAAGACAGTCAAATAGCCACCATCACAATCAAGACACAGATGATTTCTGTCACCCCCAGATTTCCCTTGTGTCCCTCTGTCATCTGTCTTCCCTGTCTGCCTGTATCCCCTGAAAACCTACATTCTGATTTCAGTCCCTATAGCCTTGCCTTTCCAAGGATCATCTAATTAGAATCAAACAGCGTGTAGCCTTGTGTTTAACTTCCTTCGTTGACCGTGATGCTTGTGAGTTGTATGCTGGTACGCATGTCTATTGTTGCTGCCTCCCTTTCCTATTCCAGAGTAGTGTCCTAGTGTGTGGACACACCAGCCTGTCCATTCTGTAGGTGGTGGACCGCATGTTAAAAATCACCCATTTAAGATTTTAAGGAACGTTCAGTTTTTAAATTATTTATTGTTTGGGATAATGTCAGATTGATAATGGGGGAAATACAGGAGATGTAAGATGGATACATTTTTTTCTTGAAGAAGGAAATTTGCAGTGTTTACAACACAATTTGGTAAGTTCTAGGCTTTTTATTTCAGAGGCCAAGAGTTACTGACTTTAATTGTTAGATGGCAGTAAAACAGAGATGGACTTCCAAGTCAGGCTCCTTCAGTTCAAATCCAGTTCTGCTCCTTCCTCATCACTTAAGTTTATATAAGTTGATTATCCTCTCTTTTCCCTCAGTTTCCTCATGCCAAAAATACACTCCATAATGGTCCCTTCATCATAGTGGTGCCATGATGGATTGGACGCATTAACACTTATAAAGAAATGAGAAGAACGCCTACTATCAGCTCTCACCTTCGTTCTCTTACATCCCAGCAAATACACATTTAAAACCAGCACCCCCTCTCTCAAGGCTGCTCCCTCAGCCCTTTGCACAGTTGCTTAGGGGTACCCTTCACCAGCTGGCCAGCCAATCAGCGAAGAGTCGCCTTAGTCATTGCAAATCTGTTTGCCTTTAGAACTCTGCCGATGACATTCCATCGGATGGACGTGGAGTTAGTTCATATCCTTTAAAATACCAATATTTTATATATTCTAAGTTAGAGTCAATTAATTTATTGGATATTCCATACACACAAAAATAGCAGTTTCAAATCTGATGACACGTCAATTTGGTTTTCAGTCTATTTTATAGAAAAAAGAGTCAGCAAGTTTTGGGTAAGGTTGTGCATTGGACAGCCCTGTACTTATTTCTTTTATAATGTACAGGGCAACCTGCCAGGCATAATGGATTTTCACTTTTATTAAGTTTTGCTCAGTGTTTGATTCTGGGGAGAGGAATTGTTAGGGGCTGAGTTTAGTTGGCTGAACATAAACCCTGGACAATCAATGTTCACAGAGGACCTGAATTGTGATAGCTGCCTGAGAGGCTGTGCCTGTGCTCGCTGCCCCTTGCCTACGTCATTGGAAGTCACCTTTTCCCTTAAAAACATTTTTCCTTAGGAAGTCAGCACCATATTTTTAAAATGCATTAGATACTGAACAGAAAGACAGCATTAAGAAACATTTAGAATCAGGGAAAACACATTGATCCAATGCACTAGGCTTCTTCTTGTAGATTAGAGGGAAAAAAAAACCATTTGTAACTCAGGGGACTTTCCGGAAAACCTATGTGAACATGAGTTAATGAATCAGGTTCTTGTGATAGTTCACCACCAAGATCATTCTGACAAGATTGGATTTCCTTTTTAAGTCGAAGACAATGACAGAAAACAGAAATGCTTGCATCTCATCCGAAAGGAGGCACCCATGCCATCTTCACAATCACAGTGACAGGTAATGAAACCTGTAATCGCCTCACAAAGACTGTCTTGTTGGCTCACTTCATATATTGCTCTGTCATTAACAGGGAACACAGTTCTTTCAGTGTTACAACAACAAGGCCTTTTCTTAACTTCGAATTCCCAGTGTAAACTGCTCCTTTCCTCTTTCAAAAACATCGACAGGGCTGGCATTTTGGATGTTAATGCAAGAACCAATTTTCTCTTATGTTCCCTAAAAGCAATACAAAGTCCGTCTCAAAAACAGTCTGTGTCTGACCTGAGTGATGGACTCTGCTTGCTCTGAGAGTCAGCACATGCCCACTCCACTTTATGTCCCAGATGTTTGATTTTCGCTATTTTGTGGTTCTTATTGTTTTGAAATAAAGGGCAGGCATCCTGAGCCCAGAACAGGCCTCATGACTGAGTTGGGTATCAGTGGTGATAAGTGGGTGTATAACCACTTCCCTTAAGCCTGTTAAAGTGAGAAATGGACCCTATATTCAGGAAAATAGACAAACTCAAGAGGCTCAGTTACAACTTTTTAAAATATGATCCTTAGGGTATATAAGTTGAAAAAATTTAAAAAGAATCCTATACTTGGAATAATCTAGAACTTTTGCTCTCCCCAGCTGCCTTGGCATGTAGTTCTTCACCGTGTGAGGCTTAATTATTCAGATCCAACGATTAACAGGTACCGGACATTCTTGGATTAGAAGCTTACAGCCCAATCCTTCTAGAACTGTTTTCATATTGCAGCATTAGGCATACTCTGTTTTCTAGTTTATGAATCCATAGAATTTGCCTTCATTAGGTTTCTAAGAAAATTTGTTCGTATGGTAAGTATTTGCACACCGAGCCGGTGGCACTTACCTCTGTCTCCTGGCTGTTCTCAGGCTCCGCCTCTTCTCTAGGTCTGGAACCTTGAGGAAAGGGCTATCACAGGGTTTGGTTCTTGGCAACGAAGGCGAGTTAATTGTGTACCCCGGTTCACGATGCGCTCAGCTGTTTGTGAGCTTTCTGTCACAGCCTCTGGACCACTCCACACATCTTACAAGTCAGAGGAGTAACATGAAATGTGATCAATTAAACCTGCAAAATCTATAAAATATATTTAATGCAAAATATCCGATTGATAGTGATAAAACTATTAACCTGTTATTAGTTTCCTTGAAGTTGAGTGTCATCGATCTGTCTCAAATAACTCTACATTTATCACATAGTTAATGCTTCCCTGAAGACAGCTCTGCGCACAGTGTTAGCAGTGACTCCCGAATGCTCCCTGGGGTCCCCCTCTAAGCCTTTTACTAAATTTAACTCAACATTCTACGGCACCATTTAGAATAAAGATACGTGTTTTCTAAAGATAGGAAAGTCATTCATTCACAAGAGACAAATTCTATTTTAATCACGATAACAATATATACCATCTATATATTCTCTTTTGCTCCCCACCTACCACACTTTTCTAATTGCAAAGGAAACAAATTGCCTGGGGCACATTTGTGACCAGGTGGACACCAGGAGGCCGTCTGGCTGTGCTTCCCGTTGGACCCCTGGGCATCTGGCTGTGGGAGGTATGGCCAGAGGACACATCACACCCAGGGCTTCTAGATTTGGTTCTCAGGTCCTTTCTGCTCCCATGGTTTCATAGTTAAGAAATTACTATGGGAAAAACATCTGTTTCCTTTGTGAAACTTCAGAATCGCTCGCTGTGAGGCCCTGAGTGATTGGCAATGAAGGTAACAGCTGTGTGGTAAGTGCCCCTGGAGCGTGGCCATTGTAAGCAAGGTTAGCCGAGCATCCCCGAAGGATGGAATTCTGACTAGAACAAATCACTCTCCTTAAAACAGGGCCTAATCCACACTTGTATCATATTGTAATGCCCAGTGTAGTGCCCGTCTTTGCGTTGAGAAGAGAGACACACAGTGAGGTTCAGTGACTGGCTCTCGGTCTCAGTCACCTGAGCACCAGAGGCGTGAGTTAGACCCTCTGACCCGAGCCCCCACTAGCTCCATTTCACCAGGTGCTTTTGGCAGCATAATCCAACGAATGTAAAAATTGTGCAACTCGAAATATACAAACTCCTCTGAGTGTTAGACTTTTACTTCTTCCCCTGAATGACAAACTTAAAGAAAGGGGGCCAAAAATTAAAACCTAGGTAAGCTTAGAAATTATAGGCCACGTATCTGCCTTCTGCAGTTTTCTTTTTCTCCTCTCCTCAAGTATGAGTGTGGCGGAGTTCCTTCTTTAGAACTGGGTGAGATGTTTATGTAACACATGAACAGAAAAAATAAAAAAATAAAAAGGAGGGATTGAATGCCAAATCTTTCATTCCAGAGAAACTCGGAACATTTTCTAAATTCCAGACCACTCCACAGCCTTACAAGATTATCATATCCATAGTTTACATTCCAAAACGTCATGGGGCCAGAATGACCTCTGATGGTAATTTCTCCCAAGAAAATGATAATCTCTTCATTTATAATGCCAGACAAGTTTACCTGGGTGAGTAGACAGAGTCCAGAGGAAATGAAAGAGAAAATTTTTGTTTTAACTTCTCAAGAAGGATAGCGAATCTGTCTAGAGTCAATTACCTGTAAGGTAAACACCAGTTGGTGAAATCTCCCTCTTGGAGGAAAAACGGGACATTCTGTGCCCTATACCCTTGTCAAAAATACCTACTTTTTCATTACACATACTTGTCTCCAAGGGAAAACACCTTGAATTACTGTTGTTTTGGAGCAAAAAGTAGAAGTCCCATCTGGAAGATGGGATATGCACACCTGTCGTGTTGCCCTCAGGGCCACATATCGGTTGTTGGGATGTGAGTTAGATCCAGCCGTGCCCCACACTCTGGGGACCCTAGTGCACTGTCAGGCCCTCTGAGTTTTCTCCTTCAAACGGGAGGTGATGAAGAAATACTCCTCCCTCTGCTCCTAACCCCCCGAACCCGGGGTAGGACCCCCGCATTTTCACCTCAATACCTTGGTTCTTTATGGTCCACACTGGTTTGACCTTAATCCTGCGGCCCGGGTGACAGAACCCCACAGCCAAAATGAATCTGTATTCGTAAATATTCTTGTTCACATAACCGAAAAGTCCAGAGGTAGTGACAAAGCTGCGGGCACTTTTATTTAAAGCGTAAAATGTTATCACCAGGATTGGGTTTCTCCCTTATGACTCCATAACTCCTGTTGTCTCCATTTTAGACTATATAGCCCAAAAAAACAAATAAAAAATACAGGGATATAAAATACACATGAAAGAAACCAAATAAATGAAAGATGTGAATAACACACAAACATAAAAATAGGCCTGTATGAAGGTTTTCCAGTTGGAATAACTAGGGACAATGTATGGCTCTTAAGTCTGAGAGATTTGTGGTGATTATAGGAGAATGCTTGCAAAGACAAAATGAGGTGCTCTGAGAGATTTTCCTTTTCTTGCACAGGTTAGATAAATAGTTAATGTTTTTGCACCCATTATGAGTCATCTTATGTTTTGCATGTTTTATCTTATTTGTTACTCAGGATAATCCTATCATTACCATTATGCATATAAGGAGCTGATACATATATTATACATGTTAAATTAGAAGCCATAGGACATACGGAGACTCTCCTGTTTATGATGAACATACAATTGGAGTAAACACCAGGAGCCAGTCCCCAAAGGCCCTTCACATGCCCTCACGTGCTGCATACACAGCACATGAACTCATGTGAGAGACGTGACCGCGGCCTCTTAGTACTCATTTACACAGACACAAACTGACACCCCTACTCCCAAGTGAAATGTAATTGGATATCATAGACCTCGCTGACGATTAGCAAAAGAAAGAGGAGGCAGGAGTTTCCATCAACACCAAGAGAATGACAGACATAATTCCAATGGAAGGTAACCTGACTTTTAAAATGTCCTTTGTCCCCAGCTGGTGAGCACAGAATCACAGTCTGGAACGTGTCACACTTTAGCTCCTAACAAGCCTTTATAAAATTACGGCTCATCTTTTAGTTTTGGGGGCTTCTGCCAACCGCCATTCTCTTGAGGTTTCAACATTTCTACCTAACTTCTCAAGTTCTTCGGGGCAGAATATTTTCAAATACATTTCTGGTGCCTGTTGTTTGTGTTTCTACAAGGATGTCCGCTAGATCCTGTTGCTTGATTTCTATTTTCTTTGATTTCTTCGTATTACCTTGCCTGAAGTCACACCGCTGATGCATGGCTAAAATGGACTTTATCGCCAGGTCTATTCAGGGAAAATGGCTCCAATACGAAATTTCTTAAAAAGGATAGCAACTCATGGGCGTGTTTTTTCATCTCACACTCCTCACACAACACATTCATCTGTTTCTCATTCCGATAATTATGTATAGAATAAATTATAGGACACTAATGTTTCATGTTTTGTATGCTAATACAGTATAATAAGATTTCAACAATGTTACATAAAGTAGTCCCTCCTTATCCACAGGGGATACGTCCCAAGACCCCTCATTGGATGCCTGGACCTTGGATAGTACTGAACCTTCTACATACTATGCTGTTTCCTATACACGCACAACTATGATAAAGTTTAATTTATGAATGGGCACAGAAAGAGATTAACAACAATTACTCATGATAAAATAGAATTGATTCTAAGAATATACTATAATAAAAGTTGTGTGAATACTACTGCCCTGGACCCGCCTTTTCACCTAAAGGGACCACTTTTCCTCATCACTACGTTTGTGCTTTTGCGATTCCCCGATACTTCAAATGTTCTTTCTCCCGGGTTTCCCTATTGCTCCCAGGTGTACGCTGCCTCATTTCACTCACCCTTTAGGTGTCACATTAAACCATCGGTACCTAGGATTAGATTACCTGCCTTTATGTTCATCAGCGTGCTCTTTTCTTTCTTACAATACACATTTCACTGGATCTCACGAGGCCTCAATTCCCCAACTGACTTTTCTTTTTTTTAAATGGTCCTTATTCCCAGAGTCCAGGGTGTGTAATGAGCACTCAGCACACAGCTGGTCCTGAGGCACCTGGGGTTCCTCATCCTGACTCTGCTCCCAGGAAGGGCAGGGCACCTGGTCAGCTCAGGGTCCTCCGTGCCGCGGGTGGAGGAAAAAAGAAAACACTCACATATAAACACACACACAGACAAACACAGAGACAGGCAGGCAGACACACACACACATGCACAATACACATACACACAGACAGACAGAGACACACACACACAGACAGACAGGCAGACACACACACATGAACAACACACACACACACACACACATAGACAGACACAGAGACAGGCAGGCAGACACACACACATGCACAACACACATACACAGAAACAGAAACAGACACACACACACACACACACACACACTCCCTTGCTCACTCGCACACACATCCTTAAGCCAGCTGTCCCTCCTGTAGCTGGGAGGTGTCTAGGATTCATCATAGGAGACCAGTGTGTTGCTACTTAAGACTTCCCCGAAAAACAGCCTCAGGGCGTCACTGGCTCTGCCCCAGCCCAGCTGTCGCTACTCTGGATGGGTAACTGGTCCCTTCACCCAGCCCGCTCCCCATCAGGGAATCTTCTCCTGGGGACGGTAGAGCCCTGTCCTAAGGGCAGAGGTCTTAGCTCCCTGGTTAACTGCTGTAGTATTCGTCTTACCACAGTCCCTAACAAGTCACAAAATAATTGTTAAATGGCTGAATAAAAAAATCAGTGAAAGAAGTAAAACATAACTAAATAATGAAGCTTTCACACGCTGTCACTCCCTAACTCGCAGGGATGTTAATGAAGTATTATGAGATCGACTAGTTTAACATGATGAGTTAAATATACTTCATGTCAATTTTCTTCTGAAACCTAACTAAAATTGCAGTAAGAGTTAAAAAGGCGTAAACTGAAAGGTAAAAAGACTATGAGAAACAATAGAAGGAAACAAACGTATTTCAAAAAATTTTGGAAGATCACATGGAGTAATGGTGGGAACCATGCATAACACAGGAAATTCAAGTAAACATGTGCACACCACCAGATGTGC